GGGGCACGGGGGAGGCCTGGGAAGAACAGGGCCGGACCCGGACAGGCCACGGGGAGTGCGGGAGGAGGCCAGGCCAGTGGGCAGACACCAGCTCTTTTGCACTTGAACCTGTGTCCGGCCAAAGGAGGGGCTTCCAGCAGAGGGTTAACATGCCTGAGTTCTTCTTGACAAAGACCACACTGTCACGGCCCCAGACTAAGCATGCTGCGCAAATCACACTCTCTTTTATTTTTAAAGTAGCTTTGTATTGGTTTCAGAGAGGAAGGGAGAAAGGTAGAAGTATCATTGATGAGAGAGAATCATGGATCGGCTGCCTCCTGCACGCCCCACTACTGGTGATCAAGTCCAGAACCCGGGCATGTGCCCTGACCGGGAAGTGAACTGTGACCTCTTGGGTCATAGGTCGAGGCTGACGCCCTGAGGCACGCAGGCCGGGCACCCTGCTTTGTAAAGAGCGCACTGGCTGCTGCCCTAGACTGAGTGTGCCACGCGGCCGCTCCGATGGGACCGAGGAGCAGGGGGCCGCGGCGCCGTGGTCCCTGAGGCGGAGGGTGGTGGCCTGGCAGGACAGCTCGGGGTGGGAACAGGGTTTGGATGGTCCTGTTTGGGAGGCAGAGCTGGTAGGACCTTCCCGGGGGGTCAGTGTGGAGTGAGGGGAACGGCGGGGGGCTGGGCGCCGTGTCCTCCAGAGGCAGGACATCGTCAGGGCCAGAGGCTCTCCGGCAGCCAGCGGAGCTGTGAGGCGGCTGCGGGGTTCGGGGGAGAAGCCCTGTGGGGCTGTGGGGGAGCCCTCAGCATCCAGGGGGCATGGAAAGGTGTGGACGGGGTGGCGGTGCCTTAGGGGGAGTGGGCATGGAGGGTCACGTTTGGTGCCAGCAGGACCATGCAGGCAGCACTGGCCGGCAGGCGGATGCTCACGCTGAGTGAGACCGGAGACAGCACAGCAGCTCAGCCTGTGCCCGGCGCCTTGCTGGGGGCAGGTCCCGGGAGCCGCCGTGGGCCTGGGGAGAAGCTGGGAGGAGGAGCTCGGGCTCTGGGGCAGGTGACACCTGGGGGACCTGCCCTGGGGGTGGGCAGATGGAGTGTGGGGACCTGGAGGGCAAGAAACACCAGCAGGGCCAGGGTGTTGGGCGGGGGAGTGGACCCCGAGGGTATTTCTGCCCTCTCTGGGGCCCTCCTGAGGCTTTACCCTCCACGAACCCCTCCGTCCTGTGCCGGGAGGCATCCAGGTGTGGCACCCGGTAGGCAGGCATCTGCCCAGCTCATGCCAGCCTGCCCCAGGCCGACGCCAGAGCGCACCGCTCTGCAGACAGCGACTTACCAGAAGCCCCGGTGAGCCCCGCACGAGGCTGCAGCTGCCTACGGAGCAGCACGGCCTGGGAGGGGTGAGAGCGGGAGCCGGCTCTGCCGCTCAGAGCGAGGGGATGTGCAGCTGCTCCTCCAGCAGAGCGTGCTGACTGCGCGCTGGCTGCACGGCCTCTGGCCTCTGTGTCTCCTCCGCGGTCCTCATCCCGGCACCCAGGGCTTGTGGCCGCCCGTCCAGGAGTAGCACAGAGCCTTTCACGTCGGGATCCCCTGTGAACCCCTAATCTGAAGGTATTGGAAGCGCTTAGGGTTAAATGAGGTCATGAGGGTGGGGCCCCAGGATGAGATTAGTGCCTTTGTAAGAAGGGAGGCCCATTTGTCTCCCTCTTGCAGGCTCTCCCTCCCCTCTCTCCCTTTCCCCCTTTCTTTAAAAAACAGATTTGTTTTTATTTTTAAAAATATGTTCTTATTGATTTTGAGAGAGAGGAAGGGAGAGGGGTAGAGAGATGAAAACCTCACTGAGAGAGAAACATCATCATGCTGGGGATCGAGCATGAAATCCTGGGCCCGTGCCCTGACCAGGAATTGAACTAGTGACCTCTTGGTGCATATGGGTCGACGCTCCACCACTGAGCCACACCGGCCGGGTCCTCTCCCCGTTCTTAAGTCCCTCCGTCGGCCACGTGAGGACAAAGGGTGAGGGGGGCCAACTGCAACCAGAAAGAGTCCTCCCCAAACAACCCTCTGGCACTGGACCCCGCACGCCCGGCCCCGGATCTGCGGGATGGTGTCTCTGGCAGGCAGCCTGACCGGCAGACACCTGGTCCCGCTCCGCCTCGCCGCTCCCCTGGGGCACGGAGTGACCGTGAAGACCTGGTTTGCTTACGCAGGGATCCCCGAATCAGGCCGCGTCCCACCAGCGATGGTGAGAGCTGTGCACGGAGGGGCTGCTGGGAGGGGGAGCTGTGAGCAGAGGAGAAAGCGGCATTTAGATCCATCACCGTCTCTGGGAGGAAACGGCCAGGGTGCCGTGGTGCCCGGCCTCCTCTGCGGGGCTGGAGAGGCCTGTGGCGGCCGAGGTCCGTCTTGGGGGCGATGGGCCCTGGTTTGCCTCCCGGGCTGTACAGGGTGCCACGGCCCGGCCCCCCTTCACACCGCCTCCCGCCCCCGCCCCCGCCCCCGCCCTTGGGTAGCATTTTAGGCTCTTCATGGAACTTGTCACTGATTAGAACGTAGTCGTTAGTCTCATATTAGCTTGATGTTTATCTTCATAACCAATGGGGCCTCCCTGAACCGGGGCCTCTCGGCTCCCCACTGGGCCCCGGGCCGGGCCCTGCCTGGCTCAGCGAGCCTGACACCGAGCCTCTGGAGGAAAGCAATGCCTTCAGCCAGACCCTGCCCCTCCTTCCCCGCTCACTCTACCTGTGACCCGCCGGCCCCCCGGGCAGTGCCGACGGCCTCTCTGCCCTTTCTGAATGTCTGGGGGCGGGGGGCAGGGGAAGTCAAGACCAAGCTGTTAGTGAGAAGAGGGGCTGCGGTCATTGATAAAACACAGTGACTTTTAAATCGTGGGTTTGCTTTAAAGAAACCCCCAAACGCGTGACCAGGGCAGGAAGCAGATGAGTCACGCCTCTCACCACACAGTCCTGGGGGCTGGCATTTGATAACATCTGTACGCTCGGTTCAGCCTGCCGCGCCCCAGTACCAGGTGCCGCCGGGGGGCACAGGCCCGCGCCCCTGGGCTGTGGGCACAGGGGGCAGTGGGTGTGGGCCCCGCCATGGCGTGTGTGCGGGGCAGGGGAGATATTTTGGGGAAGAGGAGCAGACTGACAGCAGCTATGGCAAAGCTGGGAAACCCAGTTCGCAGAATTTCCTCTCCCGTCGACGTGGGTCCGTTTCCCCTCTCTCCCTGCGAAGAGGAACTTCCGTTAGCTGACGAAAGTGCACAATCACACAGCCCGCAGGCTGGAAAGGCCCGCAGGGGGGCACTGGGTTTAATAACACACGGGCCTCCTGCCGGGACTTCAGGCGCCTTCCTGAGAAGCCTGGCCTTCTCCCTGGCCCTCTGCCCCCGCTCCGCACGCCCGGCCTGCTGTGCTGGGCGAACCCTCCTTCCGGAGAGGGAGGCGGGGCGCAGCCAGAGCTCAGCGAGGACTCCCCGATCCTGCTGCTCTGCTCGCTCAAATCTGATGCCCCTTCTCTGACTTCATGGTCACCTCTGGGTCGGTCTCCCCCAAACTGCCTCGGGCCTTTTCCTGGGGAGGGTGACCAACTCCCCCCCACCCCTTCCAATCATACAAGGAGCCTCCGGCAAAGCCATGCTCTCTGAAGGGAAGGGACAGCCCTCCCCTGAACTGGCCACCCGCTCCGAGTGCAGTGGGGAGCGGCAGTGGGAGAGGCAGCGGGAGAGGCAGCGGGAGGGATGCAGGGCAAGAGCAGAGACTGAGGCTCGGAGGGCTGCACCCTGCTCTGCCCCGCTGCTGAGGGGAGAGGCGGTCCAGGCTGTGGCTTTTCTCAGAAGGCGCTGCTTTCAGAAGGTATGCAGCTCACTTCCGTCTGAGAAGCACCTGGGTGAACCCCAGGCCCCCAAGTCCGGGCAGGGCCTCCGGGAGGCCTGGCTGGCTGCCTTCTAGAGGGAAGGAATGCCGTCCCGTCCCCAGCTGTCAGGATTTGCACACAGTACGCGGTCCTGCTTCTCCTCAGGACCTGCACGCTTCCATCTGCATGCATTTTTGTGATCTCTTTCACTCTCAACTTTCCCAAGAAAAACTGTCCATCTCCTGCTCAGCTTTACACTGACAGCCCTAGCCCATTTGGCTCAGTGGTTACTGTCAGCCCACAGACTGAAGGGTCCCGGGGTTCGATTCTGATTACAAGCTGGATCCCCAACCATGGACGGGGTGCATTCAATAGAGGTTTCTCTCACGTCTATGCTCTCTCCCCCCACCTCCCTCTCCCTCTCTCTAAAATCAGTGGGAAAATGTCCTCGGGTGAGGATTAACCACAACAAGAAGCCAATGCCGTGATTCTGTGTGTGCCGGGCGATGTGCAGCTTTGCAGGGCAGTCTGGTTTACACTGTGCGGCTCCCCAGCAAGCCGTCCTCCAGCTTATAGGTGAGGGGACCGAATGCAGCTAGAAGGACCGGTCATTTGTCCCGGGCCACAGACAGTGTTAGCCAGGCCTCCGTGCTGGTCTGGCCCTCATCCTCAGGGTAACATCACACTCTCCACCCTGAGCGATCAGCAGCCAGCTCAGCACCGGCGGCTGTGCCATCAGGAACCCTGCCATGGCGCGCCGGCCCTTGAACTTGAGCCAGGAGGTCCCTGCTTCAGTGGGCTCGGTCCCCAGGAGGGGGTGTGCAGTAGGCAGCCGATAGTTTTTTCTCTCTCCTCGTCAATGTTCTTATCTCTCTACCCTTCTCCCCTCCTCTCTCTTTAAAGATCAATAAAAACATATTAAAAAAAGAAATCCGACTGGTGTCCTATGATTCTTGTCCTGCAATTTATTGGAATAAAAATGACATCATTCATTCGCACGGCTGTGTGCTCAAGGCCCGCAGAGCCGCATGCCGCGGGCCAGGCCCAGCCAGGCCCAGCCAGGCCCTGCTCTGGTTTCACAGGTGGAACGATGGGGACCTGACCATCCCAAGGTCACACAGCGAGAAGCAGGGAGCTGAAGGAGAACTTCCAGGCTCTTGGAGTACCCAGAATTCTTTACTGCACAAGGCTCTTCTCCAATAAATAAGACAACGGAATAAGTAAACCTCGCCCAGAACCCCGAGGAGTCCCGCCTCAGGCCTGTCTCCGGGAGCTGTTCCCAGGCCGGCCCAGCGCTGCCGGGCAGAGCGGAGGGTTCGGGGTCAGAACGGCTATTCCCAGCTGCCCCTGGAGTGCAGGCCGCGATGACAGGGCCAGCCCACCTGCCACCCACCCCGTTCTCTGCCCTCGGACTGTCAGCGGCTGCGAACTCATCTCCCAGACTCAGTGGGAGCGGGCGCACACCGTCCCCGCCGGGCCCAGAGCCGCGCTCTGGCAGGAAGCCTGGACGGCCGCTCCGGTCCTCTCCGGTCCTCTCGGTGCGGGAAGAGCTGGCTCTGTGCACACAGACACGGAGGCCTGAGCACAGGGGGCGCCCCGCTGCCGACAGAGGCGGGCTTGATGACAGCCAGCCGCTCTGCCCTTCATGCCCCGAAGGGCCTGTGCGCTGCGAGGACTCACTGGCCCGCGGTAGCTTCCTCCCACCCGGCTCGCCGGCTGGAGATGTCGCCTCAGCTTCCCCGGAGAGCCCATTTCACAGACGAGCAGACCGAGCAGGGAGCCGGGCGTGCAGCTGAGCATGGAGGGCGGGGAGTACGGCCCGCCCCGGCCTCTGGGTCCGCAGGTGCCAACCTCAGCCTCCGGGGCAGACCAGCTGGTGCCCACACCCAGCGGCTGCCTGCAGGGCTGAGATGTGACCAACGCACATCTCCGAGGCTCGGTGTTGCTGTCGGTGTGGCCCGCATGGAGGGCGTGGCCACGGCTGCCACTCTCCTTGCTGGGAAGCAGTCAGGACACCCCCGGGGGATGGCTCGGAGCCACAGGCCCCTTTCGGGGTTCAGTTCCTTTCACCCCCCACCCGCTCGTCCTGAGAGCTGACTGACCAGCTGGCCTGGGACGCCTGCGGTGCGGGCGCTCCTCCCTGGGACCTTCCCAGGAAGGTGGGGACCAGCTGGCCCTCAGCCACACGTGGTCACTGCTCTCTCCTTTCCCCTAGATGTGAGCCTGCTGTGAGGCCTTGGCACAGGCTGGCTGGAAGCTGACTTCAGCCCGGCGGCCTCACCCCAACTCCAGGAAACCCCGGTTCCCTGAGCACACGGTCCTGGTCACAGAGGCAGAGTCCCAGGAGGGAGGAGGCTCTGCCAGAGCCTGCAGGGCCTGCACAGCGGAGAGCAGCACCCACACTGGCCTCACGCCCACCTCTGACCCGGGCCCTCCTCAGACCGCCAGGGCGTGGCTGGAAGCAAAGACAGCCCTTCTCCAGAGTCACTCGCTGGCGTGCAGACTGGAAATCAGGGGCAGTGTGACCAGGTCTGCATCGAAGCTGCCCAGGAGGCCGCCCGGGGCTGCCACGCCCAGAGGGGCGGGGTCCCGGGCAAAGCTCCACTCAGCTGTCCCCAAGTCCCCACAGCTGGTCACGCCCAGGAGTGACCATTCCTCAGCTGCAGGGTTCCACTGTCCAGCCAGGGCCCCCAAGGGAGCGAGAGTCGCTTCTGGGGGGTCCTGTTTCAAGTAGCCCTTGTCCACGGCTGGTGGGGGCCAGGCTTCCTGGGCATCCGGGCACATCCTGAGTTGGGGGACAGAGGCATCAGCGGAGGAGGCCTCCTCTTCCAGGCAGCCCGCCGTGACTGCCTGCTCCTCCGTGCCTCTGGTCTGCTTCAGGTAGCCCTGAAATCCCACTGCAGCCGGGTCTTCCCCCTCCGCTGCCTCGGGCTCCAGGGGACCGACGTGGCCCCCGCCTGAGCCACACAGTTCGTCCTCAGTCCGCCCCTCAGAGTGGTGGGCCAGGCCGATGCCGCTGTCCTCCTGGCCCCCGTGCTCCTGGCCCCCCGCCTGCGGCACCCAGCGGGGCTCCTGCAGGCAGATGCCGCTGTCCGTGCTGGCACTGCTGCAGCTGCTCTCGGGGTCCGGGGGGTCCCCCTTTCGCAGGGTGCCCCCGGCCTGCGGGAGGGCGTCCGGGAGGAGGAACTGGGGCTCCTCGGTCTGCAAGGACGGCTTGGCACTGCCGAAGCCGCTGTCGGTGCTGCCATGCAGCTCGGAGTTCCTCAGCTCCGGGGACACCTTGGCGAAGGCCTGCTCGTCGACGGCGTGGAGGGTGTCTCGGGTCTCCGGGCGGGGGAGCTGGCCGACGGGGCTGAAGGGATGGGGCTTCCCGAAGACCTGGAGACGGGAGGGCCGAGGGGTGAGCGGAGGGTCCCCGCAGGCACTGCCCCGGGGAGGTCGTGGCCAGTCTGTGAGGGCCGCTAGGGGGCACTGCTCCAGGAGGGGGACACAGGCCTGGCGGACACCCCTCACTCCTTTGGATTAGTTCCCGACGGCTCTCCCCTAACGAAACGCTCAGGTCAGCTCAGGCCCGGACACAGAGAAGCCGCATTCCGGCCAGACAGCAGGACGGGGGGTGGGGGCTGCGTGTTCGTGGCCGTGCTTTCAGCCCCGAGAGCAGGCTGGCCGCAGGGGCCCAGAGCGTGTGTCCGGGCCCTTTAGACTGGGACCCCAAATAAGAAATGTGCTCTGCCACGGTCTGCGTACAGCAGCCCACAGACATCCACCTCACGCAGGAGTGACTAAAACCAGCTTCACAAAACACTTGTGCTGCCGCGGCCTGGGACCTGAGCTGTTCTATCCCGGCCCGTCCCGGCCATTTGTTTATAAAACGCGCACACACGGGGCGGCTGCCGAGTGGGCAGAGGGACAAGCGCTGACTGCCGAGGGCCCCAAGGGAAACGCTGAATGCTGACTCTTCTGCCCACGGGCCCCGCCCTCTGCTGGAGTCACCGTGCCCAGGGCAGGCCGTGGGTGCTCTCCTCTCCACCACCCGCCCCTGCCCCCCAATGCTCTAACACCCGTCCAGCAGGCGACGCCACGCCTGGACCACGCATCTGCTCAGAGCCGCATCTTCCGGTTCGAGCGGCCTCGGAGGCCTGGCCCCGGCTCCCTGTCTTACAGAGGTAAGCCAGGGCCTGAGCTAAGAACACAGCTCTTTTCTGCTGGAAAAAGGCCCGAACGGAGCCAGGCGGCCTCCCCCCACCGTCTCACCTCCCTGCTTCCCGGACCTCTTCCTCAGAACACTTTCCGAGGGTCTGTCTCCCTCCTCATTTTCCCCAGAGACCCTGGGCCCCCTGAAGGCCCTCTTGCAGCCCTAAGCTGAGGGTAGGCGAGGGAGGGGGGGGCAAGCTGAGCCCAGGCCGCTGAGACAGGCCACAGGCCGCTGAGATGCAGCTGAGCGCTGGAGGCTGTGCTGCAGGCCGCTTACTAGAGGGACGGGCCTGGGAGGTCAGCATCCCCATGGCCCCTCCCCTCCAGCACCCAGCCCCCCACCCCTTTCCCCTCGGAGAGCAGCGCAGGCCGGCCCTTCCAGCCCTGGTCCTCTCTCTCTGAGCAGCTTCCAGCCCCTAGGCACGGGGAGGCTGGGCTCATCCTGGCTCGCCCGGCTGTGTGGCCCTGCGCCTGTAGCAGCCTCTCTCTGCCTCCGTTTCCTTACTTCTCCAAGGAGGACAATAAGGCACCTGCCTCCGAGGTGCTCATGCACAGGCCGGTCTGCGGCCGATGGTGAGTGACAGGAACCACGGGGCGCGGGGGGTGGGACCGCTGGGGATGGCACCCAGGGGCTGCCAGGAGGCGCAACGGTCAGTCCTCCCTCCGCCCCCGGGTGCCCAGGGTGCCTCCTGAGAGCGCTGGGCTGAGGGGAGGACGGGCTGAGACTGGCTGCGGGCAGGCAGCGGCCTCTCTGACTCACCAGGACGGCGGGCAGCTTCTGTCGGCGGTGCAGGTACAGGCGGAGGGCCAGGGCCCCGCAGAGCAGCAGCACCAGGGCGAAGGAGATGGTGAGGTTGGTCCCGGTGAAGTCTGCGGCCCAGATACAGAGAGAAGCGTCGTGGCCAGGCCCGGGGGACGCGGAGGGCCAGTCCTTGGGGTCCCACGGCCGCTCTCGGGAGCTACCCCACCACCCCGGCTGCCTCTGCCCCAACTCTGGCCTGAGAATGTCTCACTGCCCTCCGTGCTCACAGTCAGCACACAGGGCACAGCAGGCAAGCACAGAGGGATGGCAGCCGGGCCTGGGTTCAAGTCCCAGCCCCCACTGTCTAGCCGCGAGCCTCTGAGCCCGTTTCCTCATCTATGAAATGGGAAAATACAGCTGGCTCCACACCTGGCTAAGTCCACGGCGCCTGAGCCTGCGCCTGTGCCTGCTATCTGAGCCCGAGGACATGCTCGGGAGGGAAAGGCAATCCTCATCCCTGTCTCACAGGTTAGAACCGGAGACACAGAGAGGGTAAGGTGCTGCCCAGGTCACGTGCCTCCTAGAGAAGCAGCAGGATCGTACCTCCTAGAGGTGCGTCAGCGAGTGGATGGGGAAGACACTCGAGGCCTGGCCCACAGACAGAGGGGGGGCTTGATGGCAGCGAGCTGCAGCGTCCTTCACCCCCGAAGGGCCCCGTGAAGCTGTGAGGACTCACTGGCTGCTTCCCGGACGCTGCCCGCCTGACGGGGCACCCCCAGAGTGCCGCGTGACTCATGGGCACCTGGCCCGTGCTGCCCCGAGGTGCTCCGTACAGCTCCCTCCGGGCACAGCCTGTCCCCAGCCACTGGCAGGAGCCTGGTCTTCACCAACCCTCCCCCGCCAACGCCTGGCCAGAGCCTGCCATCTTATTCATTGACTTACGCAGCTGTGGCCAGGGGCCTGCCTGCTCTGAGGCTGGGAGGTGAGGAGAAGGCCCTTCGCCGTCAGCGAGATCAGGAGGGGACGGTGACCCACAGGGACTGCCCAGCCGCCGGCCGAGGGGCCGTTCACACCACTAGCCTGGCTTCCTCACCCTCCCGGCACGGTGGGAGAGGGCCCCGGCCTGGCTCACAGCCGGTGAGGACGGAGAAGGGCGCAGGGCGGGCCTGGCAGGCGGCATCCACAGCTCCCCGGATGGTGGACACCCAGGCCCCGCCGCCCCCCGCCCATGGGGGCCGCTGCCCTGGCCACTCACACTGCTTGGCGGCGAGCAGGAAGCACACCTCCTCCGACCAGACCCCCTTGTTTGTGCGGGAGGTCACAGCCGGCTTCACCCGGACACAGAACTCCCCAAACTCGCCGGGGATCGGGAAGCTGAAGTTCTCATGATTTACCTTCTTGTTTGTGAACTGAAATGAGAGCAACAGCAATAAACAAACAGCTGGTCTCCCGCGGCCTCCCAGGGCCCTGAAAGCTGCGCCCCCCAACCCCCTGGCTCTGAGAGTGGCCCTCCCCCTCCCCCTGAGGGCCGGGCCCCGGGCCCTGAGAGCCGGAACCCGGGCCCTGAGAGCCGGGACCCGGGCCCTGAGAGCCTGAGAGCCGGAACCCGGGCCCTGAGAGCCGGGACCTGGGCCCTGAGAGCCGGAACCCGGGCCCTGAGAGCTGGCAGGCGCCCTCTGCTCCTCTTCACCGTAAGAAGCCCTGGATGAGCACAGCTGGGAGCTCTGAGGCTACCACGACCTGAAATCCTCATTTGAGGGTTGTTTTTCTATTGATTGATTGATTGATTGATTGATGTTTTCAGGGAGTGGAAGGGAGGGAGGGGGCAGGGAAAGAGAGACACATGATTGGTGCCTCCCGCATGTGCACCGACAGGGCTGGGCATCGGACCTGCTACCGAGGTGCTTGCCCTGGACTGGGAATCAGACCCACAACCCTCAGTTCCAACCCTGAGCGGAGCAGCCGTGGGCACTGGCTTACTCTGTATTAAAGAGAAAAGGTGGGTCGGAGATGCTGAGGGCCTTCCCAGACGCGGTGGGCCCTGCTGTGGGTCAGGGAAAGGATGACTCTGCAGGTTCCAGATCGCCCAGTTATGCGGTGTCAATGCCGCAGCCCCTGAGCCTCACCCCCTCTACCCAATGGGGTGAAACAGCCCCTCCAAGGGGATGGGAATGATGGTTACGAAATGTCCGTGCAGTGAGGTGCTCTCAGCTCCCTGTTCTGCCCCAGGACCTCCCTCTGCTGGCACCAGGGGGCGAGGGGCAGGGGCAGGGGCAGGGGCGCACCCCACAGCCTTGGGAGCCGTACCTCATGGCGTGCGGGCACCTTGCGAATGGAGACCTCGTACTCATGGAACTGGGGGAAGATGCGCTCGTAGGTGTGGCCGGCAGGGGCCGCCTTGGGCCTGGGCGGCTGGATCTTTCCCAGGACAAAGCCGTCGCGTATCTCCAGCTCCACGCTGCCCACCGTCAGGCTCACTGAGCGGGAGGCACAGCCGTGAGGCCGGGGGCCGAGGAGGGCCGCCCCGCCCGTGCCTGGCCTCCAGGGCCAAGCTTTACCCGTAAAACCTGGGCCGCAGCCTTCCAGCCAGGCGGGCGCTGGGCCTCGCTGGGGAGCGCTGCGATGACAGGTGCCCTGGGCCCGCCCAAGGCCCATCGACACTGGGAGCTGGGCCGGGAGACACGGGTGGTAAGCACACCCAGGAGTTCGCAGCCGGCGGCACCGGGGCCCATGACCCCGACATCCTAGACCAGTGGTGGGCAAACCGCGGCTGGTGAGCCGCATGCGGCTCTTTGGTCCCTGGAGTTTTTGGCAAAGACCAGCTTAGGAGTACCCTAATTGAGTTAATAGCAATGTACCTACCTATGTAGTTTAAGTTTAAAAAATTTGGCTCTCAGAAGAAATTCCAATCGTTGTCCTGTGGATATCTGGCTCTGGTGACCAATGAGTTTGCCGACCACTGTCTGGCCCTGGGCTCTGCAGGGCAGGCCTGTCGCCGGCACAGCCCTCGCATCCCCACCGCGGGGGCCGCTCCCCACTGGGTGGGCTTATTCTTCCTCCCACCCCTGCAAAGAGTCTCCCGCCTTTTCCTCAGGGGCACCCACCCCTCCCCTCAGAGCCTCCCACACTGACCCTGGGGAGTCCGACCTCACGGGAGTGGGGGCTGGCCCCATCCTGCCTGCTGCCTGCTTCCCTGCGCTCAGCGCTCACAGAGCTCGCTAAGCACACAGGCCTGGCCCCGCGGCCCGGCCCTGAGACTTCCCTCTGTGGGTAAACAATCCAGTTCCCTTTCCATCGCCAACAACTTGACTGTTTTCATCTAACCCTTCTCCAAAGCCCTGACTCAGCCTTGTCTTGCCTCGTCCGGAAGCTGAGCTGCCATGGTGGCTACGGAACACAGAACAGTCTAGACTCCAGACTGAGCCCCGCTGCTCGGGACGCCCACAGCCAAGCCCAGGTCCCGGGACGCACCGTCGTCTATGGAGAAGCGGGTCTGGGTGACGGTCCAGTCGGAGCGCCGGCCTCTGTCCACGGCCTGGACTCTGGCATGGTATCCTTTGAGGTCATACAGGTCCAGGGTGACCATAGTGAGGTCGCAGGACAGCACCGGGGTCTGGCTGCAGCTGGACACGGGCCTCCAGAGCCCTGTTCCATACCTGGGGACAGCGGGGCAGGCCCTGGCTCCCATTCTGTTCACACCCGTCTTCTTTAAGAGGGAAACAGGAGGCGGAGCGGCCGAGATGGAGCTCGGGGTGCCCCCTGGTGCAGGGCATCTCACTGCCAGGGTCTGTGCGGGCCTGGGACCCCGAGCCAGCTATGTCTAAAGGTCCCAGACTGAACTCTGCCCGGCTCAGGGCCAGCTCCACAGGAGGACTGCCGCGCCCGCAACACGGCCCAGGGCCTCCTCCAGCCACGCGCGCAGCCACGCGCGCAGTCCTCGGGCTCCTGGTCTCTTAGCTCTTTGTGAGCGCTGTTCCTGCTCCTCAATGAGACAGACAAGTCCTGAGGACAGACACTACGGTGGCTCCCCGCCCCCCATGGCCCCCAGAACACTGCTCCGTGCAGGTGGCGCAGCCAGCCCCCACCGTCAGCCCCCGCCCATGGGTGGGTATGTGCTAGGGCCCTTCCTGCTGTCCCTTCAGTGGCAAGGCGCCCATCTTTCTGTGCCGGGTGCTAGACGGGATGGCCGCACCCGCTCCCTCCTCCACCTCTCTAACCACCCCCCGCCCCTGTACCTCCGCAGCTCCACTTCATAGCGGGTGCTTTCCGACGAATTCTGGATGGGCGCCCAGTGGAGGACGTGGTGGAAAAACTCTGCTTCGAACCACACGGATGGAGGGCTGGGCAGCACTGTCCCTGGGGAGGAGGGTCGGTTTCAGGGCGGGCGGGGCCCCGGATGAAGATGCTGAGGGGGAGGTAGGGAGCCTTCTAGCAGCTCCCCTACGGAGTGCCTCATTGGGAGCCAAGCACTCTACACAGTCTATTTCACCGTCACAACAGCCCACAGGCAGGCGCTCACCACCCACGTGTCCCCGGGAGATGGAGGCTCAGAAGTAAGTGACCTGCCCAAGGCGACAGGGCAATAGGGGAGAAGCAGGGCCTGAGTGCAGGGCCAGGCCCGCAGACCAGCGTCCTGTGCAGGCTGCCTCAGAAGCAGAAGTGGTGGCTGAGAGGGGCCGGGCTGGTGCAGTGCACCCTGGGAGGAGAGGGGCTGAGGCTACGGGATGTCCACAGTGAGATGGGGTGAGCTAGCCCCTGGCTCTGCCCTCCCCCTCCCCCTGCCCCTGCTCCAGCCCCGGCTCCGGCCCCAGCCTTCCCCTGGTGCTCTTTGGGCACAGATACCCCTTCTCCCACAGGTCTGCCGGGCAGCCCCAGCTCCTGTCACCAGATGCCAGCCTCCAGTAGGGTGAGAACAGACAGAGTTCTTCCCACAAAGAGCTGACACCCTGGCTCTGAGACACCACAGGCCAGTCCAGCTTCCTCTCCTGCCTCCCCTCCCCCACCCCACCCGGGAGAGGGCAGTGTGACTCGGGCAAGTTATCAAACCTCCCTGAACCCGGTCCCTCATTCGTCAGAGGGCAGCTCCTATACCCACACTAAGAGTCTTGTCCGTCAAGCACCATGAACCGGCTCAAGGCCCACACCCACTCAGCCGCCTTCTCTGCTCCCGGCCCCTCCGGCCTCTCATCTGTCAGGGCCTCCCTCGGCCCCTCGCCTCTGACCACCATCTCTCTAACGATGCTCCCTGCTTCTAACTGCCGTGCTTGCCGAGGAGTCCACCTGTCCCTGGCTTGCTTTCTCATACTGTCTTTGATCTTCGAGTCTGTGTCTCGATTTCAAAGCGCGAGGTGGAAAGTGAGAGGCACAGCAGGTCTCCGAGCTCCCGGTCATGTGAGCGACGGTGTGTTCTTGGTCCCTCACCTCCCAGCCTGTCCTCTCCCTCCAGTTACTCTCCTGCCGCACAGACTGCGGGACAGCCTGAGCTCAGGGGGAGGAGGGGAGGCGGGGGCAGTGGGGGTGCGTCAGGGGCTAAAGAAGGAGCAGGGCGACCAGAGGGGTGGCAGGTGTCCCGGAGGGAAAGGCTGGGACAGGCTAACTGGAGGGGAGGGAAGGCAGGCGATGGGGTAATTTCCCGGGACAGGGTCCAGGCCTTTGACTAGACCAACTAGAAAGCCAGGAGCGCTGGTGGCTGCAGGTGGGAGGGCCGTGCCTGAGGAAGAGGGTCTTTCAACTCTCTCCCCGCTCCCCGCTCCCAGCAATCTCAGCTTCTCCCCTGCCCAAGGGGTGAGCCCCAGGCCAGGCTCCCCAGGATGAGATCCCCGAGGGGCCGATGACGGACGCCCTCTCCAGAGGCCGGCACCGGAGCTCCCCGGGGACAGAGCTTCCGCCAGGGTGGGGCGGTGGGGCGGTTTGGCCCCCGCAGCGCAGCGGCGCGGCCGGGGCGGACAGGCCGGCTTACCTGGCTCCCCGCAGCCCAGGCAGAGCAGCGCGGCCAGCGGCAGGACCAGGCGCGGCGGGACCGGGCGCGGCGGCGGCATCCTGCGTCCCGCATCCCGGAGAGCGAAGCCGCTCGCGCCCTCGGGCTCCGCGGAGACTGAGCGGAGCGCCCCGGGCCCGCCTCCGCCTCCGCCTCCGCCTCCCCGGGCTGACGTCAGGGGCGGCGCCGGGGCTGCTCCTCCCGAGCCGGAGCGGAGCCGGACCGCAGGCTGCGGGGACGGAGGATGCAGCTGCAGGGCGGGGGCGGGCAGCCTGCGGGTCCTGGCGGGCGGGGCTGAGAGAGAGAGAGAGAGAGAGAGAGAGAGAGAGAGAGAGAGAGGTGGGGTGCACCTGGCGAGGGGCAGCCTTGCCCCTGGTGTGGAGGGCAGGAGGGAGCTGTGGTTGAGCTGAAGGCGGGATGGGGCGGATGGGGCGGGATGGGATGGGATGCTGTGGGATGGGGTGGGCTGGGGCGGGGGGAGGGGTGCGGGGAGGGGGGGACCGGGTTGGTGCCTGTGAGACTGGGTGCCCGGTGCCTGGGTGGCGCTGGTGGAGGAGGAGCCTCTGCCTGACTGCTGTTGGAGGCTCCCACCTCTTCGGTTTCTCTCCCCGAACCTCACGTTGGGAGTTCTGTGGGTGTGGAGAGGCTGGGTGACAGCTGGGGAGGGCGGACAGCACCAGCACTCAGCCCTGCGCCCTGACTCCCTGAGGGGCACTCCTGCGGTGGGGACGCTCCTGCAGAGGGGGAGGCCCAGCTGCGGCTGAAGGTGGCTTTGGGGCTAAGGCCTCACTTTGGGGTAAAGGTCGGACCCAGCGGCATGGACAGTGGAGAGGTAGATGCAGGTCCCACAGGACGAGGTCGCTGGGGCCCCAGGGGCTGCCAGGCCCTCCCACAGGGTGAGGAAGGGCGCGGGTGAAGGTTGGGGGTGCCCGCTGGTGCTCCGCTGAGAGATAGGAAGTGCTCCCAAGTGCCCGGGCCTGAGCAAGGGCGTGGCTGCTTTCAGAAATGACTTTTCAGTTCCCAGGAACCCTTTTTAAAAACATTTTTTTTTATTGATCTCACAGAGGGAGGGAGAGGGAGAGAGATGACAGAGAATCATTGGTCGGCTGCCTCCTGCACGCCCCCCACTGAGGATCAGCCCACAACCCGGGGCCTTCTGGTTCATAGGTCAACCCACAGCCCCTCAGCTGGCCGGGCCCCAGTGACCTTTTGAAGGAATACACTGTTCTTTCTTTCTGAACTTGTCTTTACTGTTGGGTTTTATTGTTGAGCTGTAAGAATGTAAAAGGCTTACCCCATTATCTTTTTGAAAAAGGTTTGCCCACATTCATTCTTCTTTCATTCACACGGCAAACATCAGGGCCAGCCGCTCACGATGAGCTACCCTGCTGCCGGCCTGGGGTGAAATGATCAAAACAAGGGCCCTGCCCCCGGAGACCCACACTCTAGCGAGACCTCCCCGTGGTGCTGAGTGCTCTGGGGAGGGAGTAGAGGTACTGTGGGTCCAGGGACAAGCACTCGGCCACAGTGGGTGGAGGACGGAGAAGGCTCCGGAGGAGGTGACCTCCGTGCTGAGCCCTGAGGGGAGGAGGGGAACTGGGAAAAGAGCAGGTGGACAGGGTGTTCGGACAGCAGGAAGTGGAGACTTGAAGCGGAGGGAAGGGCGTTTCTGAAGAACTCGGGAGGGTGGGGAGGTCAGCATGGCTGTGTTAGGCCGAGACCACCCCGGATGACATGGGCTAACCTTTGCTCAGAGCAGAGCCAGCAGCTCAGTGTGTCCTGCCCTGCCGGGAGGCACCCCGAGCAGGAGTTATGTCACACACAGCGCCATATCTTGTTTTGCCAATTCCATTTGGCTTGTGCCAGCTATTCATTGCCAGTGAAAAGTCTGAAAAGTCTACCCTGTGGCTCTGGGATATCTGGTGTGTGCGGAATATTCATACCAGTATCAGGACAGATCATAGAAAATGATTATAATAGTATCTTTTCTTTTCTGAGCTCTTACTGTGTATCAAATAGGACTCTAAACACTAAGTTGTGCAGCAGAGGCTAGAGGCTTAGCAACTTCACTTCCTCTTCCTGGGTACACAGGGCACCGTGTTTCCTAGCTCCTCCTGCGATCACATTGAATAAGTGACTGGGTTTTAACCAACGGGAAGTGAAATTAAGGGGTACCACTTCCTGGCCTGGTCTCTGTCTTTGCTATTCTGTCCACCAGGTGGAGGACCCAAACGAGCAGAAAAGAGCTTGGGTCCCCGACTCGCCTCTTGGAGGGGAGCATGCAGGAAAGACACCCAAGCTATGTCAGTCTGTGACCTGAGTGAGGAGTGAACTTCTGCATGTAGATTCTGTACTTGTTACAGCAGCTAGTGTTAACTGCCCTGACTAATGCACCAGCATCATCTCACTTAATCCTTATGACCACCCCGAAAGCTTGGCATCATCATCAGGGTTTACAGATGGAAAGTCAGAGATTATGTCACCAGTCTGTGTCAGTCACTCAGCCAGTGAGGGGCAAAGCTAAGACAACAGTCCAGGTCTGTCTGACTCCAGAGCTCACGCTTTTACCACCATATTATCAACGCCCTTCCCAATCTTGGAAGAATTCTTGGAAAAGGCAAGTGTCCAGCGAGCTGACAGAGAGAAAGAAAGTGAGGCCAGGGGAGGAGAAAGAGCTCCGGGCTGGTAAAGGGGACGTGGTGAGCCCAGGGGAGACCTGGGGAGACGGACATCTTGCCCCCATGGCCACACAGGGAAATTTTTAGGGCACATTTTGAGGTTGAGGTGGTTCCATTGTCTCATTTTCACTTACTTCATCTCGGTCCTCAGGATGCTGCTCCTAAGCAGGCCTCCCTGGGGGCGGGGCAGCAGGGGAGGAAGGCTGCTAGGGAGTGAGCAGGGGCCCTGCTTGCAGTTTCTATTCCTGTCCTGTGATTAGGGACTTCCAGGCCACGTGATCCCTGTGTCAGGGCTGCATGCGCAGGGAGTGCTCCGGGAGGGGACAGAGAGGAGGAAGTCACTGGGGCCGGAGAATCACAGGTGTAAGAGGAAGGGGTCACCGGCCAGCCCCAGCCCAGGGGCTGCTCCACTTCCCTCCTCAGCCTACCTGACCCTCCCCTCCACCCCCACCTGCATATAAAGTGCTCAGAAGGACAGAATCCCTCCCTGATGCCCCTCCACGCTGTGCCGATGTGACTCTGCTTGAGCAGGGAGGTGTTGGGTGTGACTGGGTGAGGCAGCAGTCCTGAGACGCAGACATTGCTTGGAGCCCCTTGGACCACAGAGCTTGGCGTCAGGAGTGTGGTGCCCTGTGCTCGCCCGCCTCCGGAGGCAGCGAGAGCGCAGGCTGGGATGACCCTCGACAGGCTTCAAGCTCAGGTGCCAGTTGTCATCTGTCACACATTCCCCGGAGCCCAGGGTTCTTACTGCAAAACGGGAGGGCGCCTTCCTTCCCACCCGCGGGCTGCTGAGAGGAGGTCAGCGACCACTGGCTGTTCTGTGCGCAGGCGCCGGAGACAGAGCCACTCAGACCCTGGCCTTGGGGGTGCCTGCACTTCTGGACTCAGACCTACAGTGACTCTCTGCTCTGACGTCAGAAGGACCAGCTTCGATGTAAAATGTTTGGTGAAGTCTAAGGTGTGATGCCCGCGCAGGGCGAGCATTGGTGCGATGGCTTTTCTTTCGCTTTCCCGGATCGGCCTCCTGCTCACTCCCCGGCCACGCATGCGGTGACACTCAGCTCTAAGCCGCTCCTCCATGTCGCTCGTGGCTCTCGGGGCCCTGAGGCCCCCTTGCCTCGCACTCCTGGCCCGGAGGCCCGGCCTCCGTCCCCTCTTCTGTCTCTGCCCTTGGCCAAGAGCACACTGGACCACGGCGCTCTCCCTTTCCTGGAATCAGTGCAGTTCGGGAAGTGGGGATGGGCACGGGGGTGTGGCGTGGAAGAGGGAAGCACTGCAGTCCCCGGGGAGTGGAAGTTCTTACAATTTATAGGAAAATGAAAGTCAGAGGGGAAGAGCCGCTCAGGTCACAGCGGTTCAGACCTCACCCTCAGCTGCTCTGTGGCCGCCTGCCCTTTCGGAGCAGGAGTCCCAGCTGCCTCCCAGCGCTGCCGCACAGCACGAGGGCCGCAGGGAGGGCCGCTGGGCTCCGGCAGCCAGGGCCTCCTTTCTGCCTCCCACCCCCTGCCCCCGGCCCCTCTTCTCGGGACACCAGGGCCCACTAGGAAGCCCTGGGGACCCTGGTGAGGAAAGTGGGCATTTCTTGCAGCTTTTTCTTGTCTGGGTAAGGTTCTTTTTATTCCTCTTAAACATTTTTAAAAATTTAAAAATATTTTTATTGATTCCAGAGAAGAAGGGAGAGGGAGAGAGAGAAGGAAACGATGAGAGAGAATCATTGATCAGCTGCCTCCTGCACACCCCACCCTGGGGATGGAGCCCGCAACCTGGGCCTGTGCCCTGACTGGGAATCGAACCCTGGCCTCTTGGTTCATAGGTCGATGCTAAACCCCTGAGCCACGCTGGTCAGGCAGAAACTTTGATTTGGTAAATAAATTTTTAATACAGAAATTCTTGGATTAAGTCATGTCCATAAATACATATAATTTCAGCCACATAATGTTATAAATTCCGGGAGTTTTGCGCCTAATTTCAGGAAGCTGGAGGAAGCAATTGCTTGGAGCCACAGGGTCCTGTGAGGGGTCATTGCCGCACCCACATGCATACATTAACGGGGTGTCCACGTGAGCGACAGGCCCCATCGCTCCCAGGGACGCTCCTTCCAACCTCGAAACGAGGCGCTCAGGCTCCTGGCTCAGCGCCTCTTCCTGGGACACCGCGTCCAGAGATGGCTGCTCTGGCCTCCGTCTGCTCCTTCTCCACTAATGTCCCTCCCGGGCCCGCTCCGCCTGCCTGCTGCAGCGCAAGCCAGGAGCCCAGCTCCTCCGCCCCGCCTCGGTGACCAAGTCCGAGGGCCACAGCTGCTCCGGGCGATTGCTCCCCTCACGGCACACCCGTGTCGGCGCCGGCTCAGCCCCGGGCGGCCCCGGGAAAGGCTCCGCGCTGGCTGCAGGTCCCCTCGTTGGGAAGACGGGGATGTTCTCATGCTGAGGA